CACGTTTTGAAATTTTAGGTACTAGGTTGTCGCATTTTATAGTTTGAGGACCAAAGTGACACTTGACTCAAAGTATAGGATACTAATCAAGAATTTTCCCTTTTGATAAATACCAACTCATTTGTCACAACTTTATGATATTATGGCCTTGTTCCTTTATTAGTACCCCATTGGGTATACAATTGACCAATTTCCTTGCATTAATTGTGTATCATAGGTTCCATAAAAATATTATTTTTCAAAGTGATTTAATAAATCAACATTTTACTCTCCAAATTGATTATAAATCAGCAAAAAAAATTTTGGAAAAGGATGTAAAAAACTTGGTTTCAAAACAAATTTTTGCTAGATGGCGAGATATTTTATCTGTATTTGATTTTGATATTAAAGGATCTGATAATTTTTTGCAATATTTATTGACAAGGGAATTCTTACAAGGTTATCTAATTAAAGATGACCGACAGAAGACTTCGTCTTCCTCTAAGTCCTAATTCCATGTGCCCAAAAAGGACTAATGAGTCCATTCCAAGGTCTAATTATGAGACCGGAGCAAGCTCAATGACTAATTAGTCCCCAATAATGTCTCCCTTAATTAGGGAACCATCTCCTGTTATGGAAGAGGCTAATTCCAACCAATATCTATCATAGATGGGCATCATTTCACTGTATGCGGACAGAATAATGATAAAAAATATTATGAAGAATTTCTTCTCCACACAGGGTCTGTTCGGATTCAGCATTATTTTAGGGATCCGAATAAGTCTGAAATCGCTTATTCTAAGCTAGTAATTGTTAAATTTATATCCTTGTCATCATGGGGCTGTGCCAGCAAGCCAAAGTTCATTACTAAGCCTATTGATATATTAGATCCTGCTTATTAGGAATGGGGTATCTAATCCATCTTAACGCTTTGTTGAGAGGTTTGTAATTTATTACGAGTTTTGGTATTCTTCTTTCTAGTTTTGCTTTATTTTCCACATAGAAAGCAAGGCAGCTCCAAGGGGATTTGCTTGGTTTGATTTGACCCTTGCCTAGTAGTTCTTGGATTTCTTTTTTACAAAATTATAATAATCTATTATTCATTTGTATTGGTCTGGCTTTCGTAGGAATCTTTGATTCTCTAAAATCCTCTTCATACAGTAGTTCTACTGTATGTCTTTTTTCTATGCCAGAACGCACTAGGAGTTTTAGTACAAATTTCTTGTGTTATTCTTTTTTGAAAATTTTCAATTTCTAATTGCATATTGGGTTCTTTAAGTTGCTTAATTAGCTATCTTTTTTTTTTATTTCAGATTGTAATTCTGCTATTGATGGTTGAAGTTTTGGGTTTTTGGCAAAACTTATAAGTGACCGAGATTTCGCCTATTGTGGTTGTAATTCCTAAGGGATCAATTTGGCAAGGGAGGATCGATAGCAAGAAGAGAGTTCCTAAAATGACTTCTTGTCTTAGGTCTTTTACCATAAGGAAGGTGGATTTTAGACAAGTTCCTTGGTTGTAGATATGGGCAACGGTGATCTTATACTTTATTTTCCAGTTTCCTTCCGTCCATTGCATTAACTTGTTGGGTCGTTTTTTCAAAATATCTAGAAGGCACAATTCCTTCTCCGATACAATTAATGTATGCAATTTAATAAGACTATTACAGGGAGATTAAAATCTTTAATTCTAATGGTTATCCTTGAATACCATTTTTGGTATCTAACATCTTATGGAGTATATAAATTCTTCATCATTTCCAACAAATTAAGCAGAATATCTAAGAACCAATTGGGAATCATTTGTCCGAATAAACACATTACTCGAGTAAACATCATTATCAATGAACAAATCATTTGTCCAAATAAATGCACTACCCGAATTAGGAATCGTTTGTAGGAATAAACACTTTACCCGAAAATCTAAGAACGAACAAGGCTCTAGTATATAATGACACTATTGACCCAATTTAACGTTTTTTAGATATCATAGGGGATATTTGGTATGGTTTCCGTTTATTTAGAAAAAAATGATTGATAAATATTTTTTTACTTTTTGTTGATAAATAGGCATCAGTAGGGGTCGAATGGCGGGCACCATTTATAAAGAAACGATGCCATACCAAACACCATCACAGTGGAGCCGATGGAACAAATCTCCGTCTACAGCGACAATCATGAACTCGATATGGATTAATGGAAGCAACAATCTAGGAATCGAAACTCGTGGGGATTTGAAATAGGGATGGTGTACTGTGAAATACAATATCACACCCATACATAATAAGCGAAGACCGTTGACTTGGGATCATTATTTGGATTTTGGACCGTGGGAAATCCGCAAAAGAGACAAAAGGGGGAAAGAAGAACTCATTTATCAATTCCGATATCGGTAGAGCTTTGACCAATCTGAGTTTTGATGAATACCGGTTGAGTTATCCTGCGTCACAATACAAATAAAATACTTACATCCAGTGGGCCGTGATCATCATTAGCCATTCAATTTGCACGGATACTACTGTTTTCCGTATGAACCCCGATGCGTATCTTTGGAGCGTTGATCCGCTGCCTCTGGATAGGCTAACAATACACGACGCAAATCTCTTCTCTTTAGCGGGGCCCACCATAAATAGATTTGCACGACTGCCGAGCCATCGAAACTACAGCGTGCAAACTGCAGACTCTGCAGCCAGCAAGTGATGACTCGCGTCGACTTTGATTGAACTTGAACGTCTTCCTTTTTCTTTTTCCTTACCTTTTTCTTTTTCTCGCGATGCAAAAACTCAACTCTCCGAGAGAAAATAACGTTTGAGTCGCATAGAAATATAGAATGGTCCCTGCACTCCCTCCATTCGCAGCCTGGTTTGTCAGACTCATTTATCGCGATAGAAAACTCGTTCGGAATACCTACTTCTTTATTTATCTCGTTGTCCTTATCCACCGCAACGTTCGCATTACGGAGAAGCGCCAAAAAATCCCCGTGGGCCCCCCATACTTCTGTCCTCGGCTTAACTACACTACATGATTGATATTTTCACTTTTCTCTTAAAAATTTCGCGAGATACTAGTTGTTCACTTGTTCGTGTCCTCTTGCGTCATTAAATAATACATCATTTTCTTAATTAAGAAAATCAATTTTCCTTGGCAACCAAGAGATTCTATAGATAGCTCGCCCCAATCATGGCCTATTGTTTACATTGTCCCAACCTTGGATTAGGAATATGTGTCCTCACGATATCATGTTCCCAATGCATTAGTTACAAATGGCTATAAATGCAATGTAAACATAATATCGTGAGGACTGAATCCCAAGTCAGAGCATCCAAACACAACAACCGGAGTAAGGATTACCTACCAATAAAATACATTCTAACAGTCTACAGTCTATCAGCATGATATAACACCACACATCTTATATATATTGATGATGCACGATCTGGCCGATCTTAGCTGTTGATGATCTTGCCTCTGAAATGGGTAACAGGGACCTGAAACGGGAGGAGAAGAGAAGCTCCGGGGAAAACCCTACGTAAGGGCTCCGAAGCTCAAGTTAGAATCCTTCAAAGGCAAGAATAACCAGATAGCGCGGAAGTTAGCATACCTCGTCCCTGGGGGGTAGAAGCCTTTTATAACCACCTCGCGCACTCACTTCCAGGCCTCCGTCAGGTCGGGCATGATTACTTCTGAACTCCTGYCAGTTCGGGTGTCATTTCCTCTRKTCGGACAGAACCGCYACTGTTCCTTTTGTCGGAGCCGTCTCTGCGGCTAGTGACGACGGTTGCAGGTGGCGGTGGCAGGAAGCCGTTTGAAATGCGGCTGTCAGGCGTCAGATCCCAAATCAGTCAGGTACGTCGCCCTTGGATAAAGACGTCCTTGGTGTCGAGTACGTTTGGCTGGCCTGGTGCTTTGGAAGTGAAGTGTTGGAGTGGCGAGCGAGGTGCCTCGAGTTTGGTTTGGAGTGTTCCGAGCTGTCACGGGTCAGTTCGGGTCAGCTTTGTGAGGCTTGGGGCCCAGTATAGTTCGTGCTCCTTGCAGGGAGCTCGAGTTCTCGGTAGGAAGCTCGCTCTTAACAGGGAGCTCAGGCTCCTAGTAGGGAGCTCGGGTTTTAGGGAGCTCGAGCTCCTAGTACCGAGCTCGGACTTGGGGAGCTCAGACCTTTGACAGGGAGCTCGGGCTCCTAGTAGGGAGCTCGGGTTCTTAGGGAGCTCGGGCTCCTGGTACCGAGCTCGGACTTGGGGAGCTCTGGTTCTTAGGGAGCTCGGGCTCCTGGTACCGAGCTCGGACTTAGGGAGCTCTGGTTTTAGGGAGCTCGGACCTTTGACAGGGAGCTCGCTCTTAACAAGGAGCTCGGACTAAGTACAGCGGTCTGGAGTTCGGGCTCGGTAGTGAATTTGGACTTGCTTCCGATGTTCGCTTTGGGTGCTCTACTGTCCCAAGCTGCTTGCCTTTGCCACATGTCGGGCGATCGCGAGGCCGGGCCAAATTTCCCTTCATCAATATATATGAGGGGTCTCGGTCTCATGATAAAGTTTATGGTATTAGATCACAGTTGATAAGGGTTAGAAGTTGGAACGTGTTTTGTTGACGGGAGATCCCAACAGCAACCGGGGATCATGTACTTGGCGTAGATACCATTTTCAGTATTTTGTTTTATAGGTGTGACATAATGTATCTTATCAATTCCTCAAGACTTTGGTGGTCAGAGGGACAATCTGAGATTGTCTTCTGGAATCGGTCAGGTTTGTCACAGCTCTCACTGTGAAAGTGTGAAGTGAAAATATCGCGAGAAGTTGAGGAAAGCGACACCACGTCAGCACCCGAAAGCGTTAGCAATGTGGTGGACGTTATGAAGAATATTCATTAGATTTGAGCTTGTTGTTTGGGTTCCGCAAAACCACGCCTTTTTCTCATCCACACGCTTAATGTTATCAGTCATTGTACTTATCAGATAAGCAGATGTACTTATGCGTGATTGGTCGGTGGGAAAAGAAGAACTCCTGGGAAACGCATCGAAGAAAGTGAGACGAAGTCGCGCTTCTCTCTCTCCTTTATCTCTTTTCTTCTCCGCAGCTTTTTTTTTCTTTAGCTCAAGCTGAACATGGGAGCTGAAACCCTAGAAGATTCTCGAAATACGAGCAGTTTTCCTCCATAAGAGCACGGAATTTCGATTCTTCCCTCTTGTCCTACCTCTTCTATCAATTTTATCTTGCATTTCCTCTCCACTCTGAAATTTCGAACGTCGAATTCCAATTTTTCTTCTTCAATTGATTTATTTGTTTGTTTTTTCTTACTACTGAATCGCTGCCCTAGCTTGTGAAGTCTTTATTTTGGTGAAAGCTTGTAAGTCAGGTTCTCATGGTCTTCATAATCTGAACATCCCGGAGGATTGTTTTCCATTTTTCTCTTCATATTAAGCTCCGTACATAAGTAAAAAAATGTCGTCTTTAAGCAGAGAACTGGTCTTCCTTATACTGCAATTTCTCGAAGAGGAGAAATTTAAGGAATCCGTGCACAAGTAAGTTTTTCTTATTCGTCTCCTCACTGCCGCTACTTCTCTTCCTTCTCTTCTCCCTGTTAAAATAAACCTTTTGCCTTTTGATTTTGTGGTGGTTTTGAGGTAGGCTCGAGCAAGAGTCAGGATTTTTCTTCAACATGAAATATTTCGACGAGAAAGCACAGGCTGGTGAATGGGACGAAGTGGAGAAGTACCTTTCCGGATTTACCAAGGTTGACGATAATAGATACTCCATGAAGATATTTTTTGAGATCAGGAAGCAGAAGTATCTTGAAGCTCTAGATAGGTATCTAAGTAGTTATTGTTTTTCTTTTTCTTTGATAGTTGCTTTTTTTTTGAATAATAATTACTTTATGACTATTTATTGCTCATTTTTAACTTCTTGTTGCTTCTGGTTTGTTATTCAGACATGACAGAGCAAAGGCTGTTGAAATATTAGTGAAGGATTTGAAAGTATTTTCTACATTCAATGAGGAATTGTACAAAGAAATCACTCAGCTTTTAACGCTTGATAATTTCAGGTGATTTTATGTTTTTACTGCATCAAAAAGCGTATCGATGCTCTTAAATCCGATTAACTGGTAAATGGACTAACTTGAAAAATTGTGAACAAGTTATGCGTTTAGAACAGGGAAAAGGGTGTATTGTTTTCTTAACAGGGAGCTTTTAACATGCTAAAGACTTGCGTTATTACTTTTATATATATTTTTAATGTGTGTCTCTGTGTTCAATGCAGGGAAAATGAACAGTTATCCAAGTATGGTGACACTAAATCAGCTCGAAGCATAATGCTGATAGAGCTTAAGAAACTCATAGAAGCAAATCCTCTCTTCCGCGATAAGTTAGTTTTTCCCACCCTGAAGACCTCAAGGTTGCGCACTTTAATCAACCAAAGGTATGATTGTTATTGAGTGGCAAATGAATTCATTTATATCTCTCTACTCATGTCTTTTACCCCCCCCCCCCACACACACACAAACATAATTTTCCCTAAAAAGGTCCTTTCTTTTACATTAGTACTGTGCTATAATTAGGTCTCTTGAACATCTGGGACAAATTCTTATGATCACTTTTGTGATGCCTGTTGCCAATTTTGAATTTTGTGTAGCATTCTGAATGTGAAGGTTGTTTCTTTGGCTCATGAAGTATTGTTTAATGGTCATGTAGTTTGAACTGGCAGCACCAACTCTGTAAGAATCCAAGGCCAAACCCAGATATTAAGACCTTATTCACCGACCACACATGTGCATCTCCAAATGGGGCTCGTGCTCCTATTCCAGTCACTCTTCCAGTTGCAGCAGTTGCAAAGCCTGCCACATATGCACCCCTTGGAGGACATGGAGTATGGTGTTATTCAACCTGGAGATTTTGATTTGTTCAGATGAATGGACCTTAACTCATACAATGCTAACAAGTCAACATTTTTCAATGGTGTTACTGAATGCAGCCTTTTCCACCCACTGCAGCTGCTGCTAATGCTAATGCTAATGCTTTAGCAGGCTGGATGGCAAATGCTACTGCTTCATCATCTGTTCAATCAGCTGTTGTTGCTGCATCATCAATACCGGTCCCACCAAATCAAGGTCAGTCCCTTCCAGCAGTTAAATTTTTTGATTCTAGGAGTTGATTTTCAAGACAAACAAAGCTCAAAAAGTTCTAAACGAGTTCTTTTTTGGGGGAACATGCTTACTTTTTTCTTTTTCCTTGTCTATGTTGTATATGATATTCAAAAATATACTTTCTTTGTTAGCATAGAAATGCTTAATAAGTAATGCAAACTATGCATTACTTATTTCCTTTCAATTTCTTTTGTTTGTTCAAAAGAGACCATGGAAAACCCAGGGATAATAATTAGTGCTACAATTTCCTAGCATGGCTATTTCTTGAAATTTCCTAGCGATGTTTCTTGAATAATGTGTTGTGGCTTTTTACTCCTTATGGACATAACTTTTGAAGTTTGGATATATGACAATTGACAAGGAAGAAACTGGCAAGTAGTTTTGGTCCTCCCACCACAGACCACTTCACCAATTTGACTAGTGTTCCTATGGGCCAAAAGTCTGTTCTGTAGAAGCTGGACAAGTAGATGGCTTATTAGTTCCTCCATTCTTATGCAAAATTGACAACTAACAGATACATTAGAATAAAAAAATGGCACTTATGAATATGATCAATTTCTTAAGAATTCCATGGTGTATAATTAGTCATTTCCTGTTATGACCAATATTATTCACAAGATAATCCTTTTGGCATTACAATATTTTTAGGTGTGTGCAGGCTCAAGTTTTTAACATTAATATGTTTTAATTTTAACAATTTTTTGATATGTAACTAATTTGATTGTTTTTTTCCGTTTTAACAGTTTCAATCCTCAAACGTCCAAGAACACCTCCTAATGCTTTAGGTATGGTTGATTATCAAAGTACTGATCATGAACAACTAATGAAACGTCTGCGGGCACAACCTGTTGATGAGGTAATTTAAAAGAACCAAATTTTACATTTTCAGATTTTAGATACTATGCACATATGCTGCAATTTTATGGCTGTGCAAATGAAAGCCATCTTGTCTTGTTGGTTCTCATGGATTGATAGAGCAGATTGTTGTTAATTACTTCTCTCTTCAGGTCACATATCCAGCTCCACTTCAACTAGCTTCATGGTCATTGGATGACCTTCCACGAACAGTAGCTTGTACCATTCACCAGGGATCAAATGTCACAAGCATGGATTTCCATCCTTCTCATCATACATTACTTCTTGGTATTTTACTAACCTGTTGTATCTATGTCCCTTCTAAATCAATGGAGGAGATTTTACTTTATGATCTGGTCACCATTACAGTCCTATTCTCTTTCCTGACTTGGACTATCTTTTGTGTAGTTGGTTCTGGTAATGGTGAAATTACACTATGGGAAATCGGTATACGAGAGAGGCTGGTCTCAAAGCCATTCAAGATATGGGAGATGGCAAACTGCTCATTGCCATTTCAGGTTTTCTTTAATCTTTTAATCAAAGATTCATCAAAAAGAAAATGAAAAACAGTGCCCTCGTTCTATTTTTCTTTGGAACACCTTGATTTAATTACCTTCTTTAAGTTCTTATAGATTTGATGTCTTACATAGAGAAATAACATCTGAATACAAACTCATTATCTATTGATTATGGGGTGACCATTTAGAAGAAGAATTTATTAGATGCACTATGACATTCAGATTCTGGAATTTGATTTGTTTTTCCGACATAGTTAAAGCTAACCAACCTGAAAACTGACAAACGTGGCTGAACTGAACCTACTGTTAAGGCCAATAATGTATTGGATATCATTATATGCCACATTGGTTTTGGCTTTTACTAATGTCATACAAATTGAGGAAACTAGTAGTGTTTAAGATGGGTTGATAAGGAAACTTATCATGCAACTTAAATTCTTTTGCAGGCTGCCATTGTGAAAGATTCCTCAATATCTATCAGTCGTGTAACATGGAGTCCTGATGGAACTTTGTTGGGTATGACCGACTAAACAGAAGATCATATATGTATCAGGTCTCTCTTATTATTTCTTACAATTATATTTGGTTACAGGAGTTGCATTTACAAAACATTTGATTCATTTGTATGCTTATCATGGACCTAATGATCTGCGCCAACATCTAGAGGTGTGCTATAAATTTCTGCTATCCGTCCAGTGAAATAAGTAATTGTAACTGCATGTTGACTTTTCTCTGCTGATTTTCTGAGGCAGATTGATGCTCATGTTGGTAGTGTTAATGACTTGGCATTCTCTCATCCAAACCCAAACAAGCAATTATGTGTAGTAACTTGTGGAGATGATAAGTTGATAAAGGTGAGATAAAGAAGGTAGCTCTGAAAGTACGCGCTTTCTTTTAACTTTTCATGTACCTACCTTCATCTCCCCCTAAATGAAAGCAATATATATATGGCAGGTGTGGGATTTGACTGGACGAAGGCTTTATAACTTTGAAGGCCATGAGGCACCAGTTTATTCTATATGTCCTCACCACAAAGAGAACATTCAGGTATGTCATTTTTCTGTTGTTGGAAACTATTGTCAATGCTTGAAAGATGGAAATGGAGCTTACAATCTTTTCATTGGCATCGAAATTATCAAACTTTGAATTTCTTCACTTTTCCAATTCCTGTCATAATTGGGAAAGCATAATTATTTTATTTCTAGTGGGGAAGGAGTCTGAACATGAGCTGAAAGATTGAATTTACATCTTGTATAGGGGGTTTGCCCATCATACTTTTTGAGTGCAATACAGTATCAATTTATCAAAATAAGGTTAGTGAATTGCATGTAAGAGTTTTTGGTATTATCATTGGTTTTGAAACAAATGAATGATGTTATGGACTTATGACATAATACCAGATCTTTGACACAAAAAACTCAGTCTTAACTACTAAAAACATGGTTAGTTTACTTGTTTCTCAGGTGGATGCCACATTGTAGTTTGTATAAATCTCACTTTCAATTTTCTTAAGCATCTTCCTAGAATGTCACAGGTGTTAGAGGACTTAATATGTATATTCAGTTTAGCTACATGTTGTTGCAGCTGTATATTCTTGAATTTTAATGCTTGTATAAGAGTACAATAAAGTAGTTAGTCCGTTACACATCTCTTCGATGACTAATTTGAAGAGCAACACATTTATTGTTTTCTAGATTGTGGCTAGAATTCTTTGGTAATTGGTATGATGATAAAGGCTGAAATAACAATTGTTGAAGATTAATCAGTTTTATGATGTTTTTCTGAGTAGATGTTTTGTGTTAGTTGTTAGATAGGAGGTGGGGACCACAGAAGTTATGTGAGTCCAAATTTAATTATGTTTTTGAGTGTTATATATGCTGTTTTATGTCTTGTGTACTGTTTTATCATTTTTAGTATAAATAATAAGTGAAGGGGGTGGTCGGATTATTGCTTTCTTTTCTTTTCAACTTCTCTTCTTCTCCTTCTCTCTTCAAGAAACTACTTTTCTTTCATATTTTTTAATTTAGCAGATTTCTACTTGGTATTAGAGCATCGGCTAGGGTTTCTTGAAGCATTCTCATGCAGCCCTAGATCAGCCGACTGCATGAAATAGTAAATGGCTGATCGATTTGCTATAGATTGCTTGGTTTTTGGTGGGATCTATCATCAAGAAGGTGATCTACTGTTTGACATCAAAATCAGGAAGAACTGGAGTACGGGGAAGAGTCCCAAAAAAGTTGGACTCTTTGTTTCTGATATGATCTTGGGCATCCAGGTATTGTTAGTTTTCTTTTGATTTTTTGAAGAGGGCAGTTTGGTTTCTGGAATTCTCTAAGCCTCCTGGAGTGATCGATTCACTCCTCTCTGTTGGGAGGCGTAGGGAGGAGAGAGATTTCTTTCTAGCTAGGGTTTTCTTCTTCCAGAAGGGTTGGTTTCTATGTGTGATATTAAATTATTTTTTGAAGGTCTCCAATCTATTTTTTCTTATTGATTGAACTGTTGAAGTAAGATGGAGAGTTGGAATGCTGAGATGAAATCTACTGGAACTGTGGGATTGGGTGTTGGAGGTAGTAGTGATATTTTTGGGTCTGGGATCATTACTACAGTAAAACTTGATGGTACAAATTATTTGGAGTGGGCACAATCAGCTAAGATGGCTATTGGTGCTCGTGGAAAATTAGGGTATCTCACTAGGGAGGAGAAGAAACCTGATACAGACTTTTCCCGATGGGTGCAGGAGAATTACATGGTAATGTCCTATCTGTGTAATTCTATGTTACCTCATATTGCAAAAAATTTCTTATGGGCTAATACTACTAAGGAGATTTGGGATGGAGTGATTGAAACCTACTCTTAGAAGCAAAATGAAGTCAGAGCCTATCAGTTAAGAAATTAGGCGATAAGTATGAAACATGGAGAAAAACCTCTTGCTGTGTATTTCTCCATGTTGAAAACCTTATGGCAGGAAATAGATCACTTAGAAATTGTGGTATGAGAAAGTGTAAATGATGCAACAACTTATCACAGACTAATAGAGAGGAATAGGGTTTTTGAGTTCTTGACAGGGTTGAACCCTGAATTTGACATTGCTAAGCAGCATATTCTTTCTAGGGAGGGTGTGACACTTTCTCAGGTCTATGCTTTTGTCTTTGGAGGGGAGAGTAGGAGGAATGTAATGCTGAGATAGCTTGGGATTGACCAGTTGGCTATGGTTGATACAACAAAACCTAAGTCGAATGGAGACAGGGGGAGTAGTGAGACTAGAAGGGAAGATAAGAAGGACTTGGTGTGTGATTATTGCAAGAAGCTTAAACATACCAGGGACACTTATTGGAAGCTTTATCCAAATCTTATGCCTGCCCGGATAAGGAACAAGAAGGGAAATGCAAATGTAGCCACTACAGGAGACTCTACGGCCCCTCTTTCCCAAACTGATTGAGAATCCATTGCAGTAGCAGCAGTGAGAACGAAATTGGATAGGTTTGGACAGCTTATGAGTAAAAAAGATTCACCTAGCTCTACCCTTCTAGATGGACAATAGAATGAAGGGGCCAACTACACCACTTCCTTTGCACATACAGGTAGTTCATATGCAACGACAAATCTTGCATCCATTTCAGGTAAGGAGGGACCTCCCTGGATTATAGACTCAGGAGCATCTGAGTACATAACTAATGCCCCTACCCTTTTCAGTTCCTATTAGTTGTGCTCTGGTAGAGACTCTGTCTCTACAGTAGATGGTTCACATATGCCCATTGCTGGGAAGGGGATAGAGTGACCAATGATATAACTCTGTCTTCTGTTTTACATGTCCCTAGACTTCATACCAACCTACTATCTGTTAGTTCTTTGACAAAAAATTTGAATTGTTCCGTGACCTTTCTTCTTGGTAATTGTGTTTTGCAGGATCTGGAGTCAAAGAAGATGATTGGGAGTGGTCGTGAGGCGAATGGAGTCTACCTATTGGATGAGATTCCGAGACATTAAGGCCATCATGTTAGCAACAGTAGTAGTAGTAGTGGGTCAGAGTCTGTGAACCGGATTATGCTTTGGCACAATTGCTTGGGACATCTTTCTTTTAGTTCTTTGAAATGTCTTTTCCCAAAGTTGTTTGAGTCTGTTCAGTTATCTACTTTGGAGTGTGAGAGTTGTCAGTTAGGAAAACATTGTAGACAATCTTTTAAACCAAGTAATAAAAGAAGTGCATCTGCTTTTAATATTGTTCACACTGATGTATGGGGGCTATATCATATCCCTTTCATGGGAGGATTCCGTTACTTTCTCTTGTTTGTGGATGATTATACACGATATTCTTGGATATATTTGACGTGATGAGGTTCCTAACTTGGTACAACAGTTCCACTAGATGGTTCTTACACAATTTGGAGTGAGAACTAAGGCTTTTAGATCAGATAATGCCAAAGAGTACTTTGAGAAGGACCTGATCACGTATCTCTTAGAACATGGTGTAGTTCATTAGAGCAGTTGTGCATATACACCGCAACAAAATGGAGTTGCTGAGAGGAAAAATAGACATTGTGGAGGTGGCAAGGAGTCTTATGGTGTGTGTTTCAGTTCCTGTGCAGTTCTGGGGAGATGCAGTTCTTATAGCCGTGCATTTGATTAACCGTGTTCCTTCACGAACTTTGGGGTTTAAGTTGCCATTTAGTTTTCTTTTTCCAGATGGGGAGATATTTCATATACCTCTGAGGGTTTTTGGCTATATTTCCTTCGTTTACATTCTTGGCCCTCATCGCAAGAAATTGGATCCCAAGGCCAAGAAATGTGTTTTTCTTGGGTATGCTCAGAACCAAAAGGGGTATTGCTGTTATGATCCAGTGTCGAGGAGCAGATTTGTCACTATGGATGTTACTTTCTTCTTCTCGAGTGGTTCTCCTTAGGGGGAGAGTTTTGGGGAGGAAAACTCACAATCTATTCCTTTTCCTGTTTCTTTGGTGCCTCCATCAGTTCAGCCAACACCTGCACTTCCAGTTTCATTACCTGAGACACTACGGGCAGTCTCATAGAAATATCAGCGCCGACAGATGATGGTTGACTCCACACATCCTCAACCCACACCACTCTCTTTCAGTCCTTCCGAAACTCCAGATTTGGTAGATACAGTTCCAGGTATTCCTCTTGAGCCTGAGTCTGTTATGTTTTCTGATGATAATGTTCTTGTCCCTAACACCATTATTGCAATTGATCCCACTGACCTTGATCTTTCCATTGCACTTCGTAAGGGGAAGAGAAAGTGTACAGCTCATTGCATTTCACACCATCTTTCTTACAATGCTTTATCACCCTCCTACCGTGCTTTTCTTTCTTCCTTGGATTCTGTGTCTATACCCAGGATTGTTACTGAGGCTCTCTTCGAACTTGAGTGGAAAACAGCCATGCAAGATGAGATGGGTGCTTTGGTCAAAAACCAAACTTGGGAAATAGTTGATCTCCCCCAGACAAGGAGATAGTCGGATGTAGATGGGTATTCACAGTGAAGTATAAGGCCGATGGCAAGATAGAGAGGTACAAGGCAAGGTTGGTAGCAAAAGGGTATACTCAGACCTATGGTGTTGATYATYTRRAAACCTTTGCACCRRTAGCTAWGATGAGTTCAGTTCGTATCCTTTTATCTCTAGCAGCCACCTATTCATGGCCCTTGTTCCAGCTTGATGTCAAAAATGCCTTCCTCAATGGTGATTTACAGGAGGAGGTATATATGGACATTCCAGCAGGTTTTTATGAAAATGTTGGTAAAGGAAAGGTGTGCAGACTCAGGAAATCTCTCTAGGGACTAAATTAGCCACCTAAGGCTTGGTTTGACAGGTTTAGAGGGGCACTCATCTGTTTTTGATACACACAGACACAGTCTGATCACACCCTCTTTGTGAAGAGGAGAGATGCTCTGGTGCCAATTCTGATTGTGTATGTTGATGATATAGTGGTGACAGGAAATGATCTGGAGGAGATTGATGGCCTCAAAAAATCATTACAACAAGAATTTGAGATCAAAGATCTTGGTGAGCTCAAATACTTCTTGGGGATTGAAGTTGCAAGATCCAAGCATGGGGTCTTCATTTCACAGAGAAAGTATGCACTTGACCTATTGCGGGAGACTGGGAAGATGGTGACCAAACCAACAGACACTCCTATTGATCCAAATCACAGAATTAATGGTGTGGATGGTGAGTTGGTAAAGGATGTGGGGAGATATCAACGAATGGTGGGCCAACTGCTGTCAGCAGACACTCCTATTGATCCAAATCACAGAATTAATGGTGTGGATGGTGAGTTGGTAAAGGATGTGGGGAGATATCAAAGAATGGTGGGCCGACTACTGTATTTGTGTATGACACGACCATATATTTCTTATGTTGTCATTGTCGTGAGTCAGTACATGTATGCACCTCGGGTTCAGCATCGGGAAGCTATTGAGAGAATACTTGCATATCTGAAAAAGCACCCTGGTAGAGGCATTCTTTACTCAAATCATGAGAATCTGAAGCTAGAATCCTATACAGATGTAGACTGGGCAGGATGCTTAGATGATAGGAGGTCTACATCAGGAGTGTGTACCTTTGTAGGTGGAAATTTGATCTCCCGGAAGAGTAAGAAGCAAGCGGTTGTGGCAAGGTCAAGTGCAGAGGTTGAGTATAGATCCATGGCTCATGGTCTCAGAACTTCTTTGGGTTAGATATCTTTTGAGTGAGATTGGGGTGAAAGCAAAGGAACCTATGATGTTATACTGTGACAATCAGGCTGCAATCAATATTGCCCACAATCCAATTCAGCATGATAGGACAAAACACATTGAAGTTGATAGACATTTTATAAGAGAAAGGGTAACAACTAGAGAAGTTTGTTTGCCTTATGTCTCTCCAGAGTTGTAGTTGGTTGGTGTTCTCACTAAAGGGGTGGCAAAGAACAAGCTTGAACATGATCTATGCAAGTTGGGAATGTGTGACATGTACTCCCAACTTGAGGGGGAGCGTTGAAGATTAAACAGTTTTATGATGTTTTTCTGAGTAGATGTTTTATGTTAGTTGTTAGATAGGAGGTGGGGACCACAGAAGTTATGTGAGTCCAAATTTTATTATGTTTTTGTTATATATGTTGTTTTATGTCTTGCCGCCCTATAAGGGCATAGTTGTCTTTGTATTGTTCTATTATTTTTAGTAGGGTGGCAAAGAACAAGCTTGAACATGGTCTACGCAAGTTGGGAATGTGTGACATTTACTCCCAACTTGAGGGGGAGCGTTGAAGATTAATCAGTTTTATGATGTTTTTCTGAGGTTTTATGTTAGTTGTTAGATAGGAGATGGGAACCACAGAAGTTATGTGAGTTCAAATTTTATTATGTTTTGAGTGTTATATATGCTATTTTATGTCTTGCCGCCCTATAAGGGCATAGTTGTTTTTGTACATTCTATTATTTTTAGTATAAATAATAAGTGAAGGGGGCGGCCAGATTATTGCTTTCTTTTCTTTTCAACTTCTCTTCTTCTCCTTCTCTCTTCCTTCTCTCTTCAAGAAATTACTTTTCTTTCATATTTTTTAATTCAGCAGATTTTTACTAAAATCTGTCTTTTTGGAGTATTGGTGGGTTCAGTCCATACAAATCAGGCAAAAGGTAAAATATTATAAGGTGAATATAAGCCCATCAGTCAGAGGATTTTGGGTGATGAAGAAATTACATGTCCAATAAATTGAGCATAGATGGGATGGTGATGAGTGGGAAGATTGGGAAACATAAAAGTTAGAAATGAATGCATATATAAGACCTAGAGATTGCAGAAATAGTGCTAATAGGTGGTAGGGAGAAAAAGGGAATGCTTTAAGTTTAATTATATGAATAGAAGATTAATGACAGAACCAGGAGAATCAGCTATTAGGTGCAAGTTGAACACTCTGAAAGGGGTAATGGAAGGACAGAAAGGGAAATGGTTGAAATGGTGAGAGATTTGATCTCTTTTCATTTGATCAAAAAGGCCCCCTCTGTAATATTTTGTCCGTTGTCTTGTTTCCCTAAAGTGGCATTGGTGGTGTGATCAGAGAGTCCTCAAACAAAGTGTTGCTCTGTACTCAGGACCTTTAGGGGAAGGTGACTCTTTAAAAGCTGAACTGTTAGCTCTACTTCAAGGGCTAAAGATTGCCAAGCAAGCAGATTTTAAGAACTTGGAAATAGAAGGGGACTCAAAAACAGTGATATCTTGGACCAATTCAAGCAGTATGTTCCTTGGTACTACAGACATCAGTTAAGGGAGATAATAACCATAGCAAGGGAACTTAATTCCTCGTTTACATGGGCTAGGAGAACTGCAAATGGAATGGCTGATTCTCTAGCTAAACAGGGAGTTTAAAGGCAACAGATTTTTGGGCTTTATTGTAAAAATTCTCTGTTGAAATGTCTCTGTTTTATCTGCTGTATCTCTGTATTAATATTCTTAATTGAATAAAATTCTCATTTTTGCTGATAAAAAAAATCAAAAATAAATTAATATATTAAACTGCTTGTATTTTTTGGTGGTAAAAGAAAATTCTCATATAGATAGAGAAAAAATGCACAGGAAATGATGATAAGAAATCACTGAGAAGATCTCCAAACACAAAATCAAACACCTTGCCCCAAGAGTAAGCTCGCCACATAATCTTACAGACCTCCAAACCGAAGTATTTCATTGTCACAAAGGGATATTCTCTAGTAATTTAATGATTGTTCTAATGACATCCTCTAGCAACTCTCTGATGACTCTTTCTAAATTTGCAGTTTATTTTCTCAACTGCTATTGATGGGAAAATTAAGGCCTGGCTATATGACAATGCGGGCTCCAGAGTTGATTATGATGCTCCTGGACATTGGTGCACAACAATGCTTTATAGTGCTGATGGAAGTAGGTAGGTGAAAATCCAAAGTGTTGAATATATGAATCAAGAGTTTTAAATTTGATTATATTTTTTTATGTATACAAACACAAAAGTGATGTAATTGATGCATGAAGTAATGACTTAGAATTGATACATTCTGATTCTGTCTCTCAGATTGTTCTCTTGTGGGACAAGTAAGGATGGTGACTCCTATCTGGTTGAATGGAATGAAAGTGAGGGAGCAATAAAGAGGACATATTCTGGGTTCAGAAAGAAGTCATCTGGTGTTGTGCAGTTTGACACAACACAGAATCACTTCTTGGCAGCTGGTGAAGATAACCAGATAAAATTTTGGCATATGGACAATGTCAATGTTCTCACAACCTCTGATGCTGAGGGTGGACTCCCGGTAGGTATTCTTCTTTAAGTTTCTACTATGCCTTTGTTTTACATTTGTTACATTAAATTAGATCATTTGACATTACTGCTTGGATTGTTTAGAGTTTTCCCCGCTTGAGATTCAACAAGGAAGGAAATCTTCTTGCTGTTACCACAGCAGACAATGGTTTCAAGATCCTTGCGAATGCTGATGGTCTGAGATCCCTAAGAGCAATTGAAGGCCGATCCTTTGAAACACTGAGAGCACCCACTGAACCAGCTGCAATTAAGGTTGTGATCATTGTCACCATCACGACCACCATTATTGTTGCTTCTTCCACCATGACCATCACTCTCATCATTACCATCTTTATAATTTATGATATGTTGTATTTGACATGGATTCTAATCTGATCTTTATTCTGTTCTTGCTTACCAGGCTACCAGTGCTGCCGCAGTTGCAAACATCAGTCCAGGCATTAACAGAGTAGAACGCTTGGACACAAGTTCTCCTGCAAGGCCTTCTACAGTTCTTGTATGTTAGATAAAGAAAGTTTCTGTTAAAGAGTTATATATATGAGTTGGCATGTTAATGATACGAGTGCTGCTTAGCCCGATATGATGGCATATCAGAAGCAGGCAGGGAGCTGTGCTTCTGATTCCTCTATAATGGGTCCATACGCTTCCATCATGAGCATGTTAGGGGATTGTTTTCTATTGAATGTCTCCTTAGGCTAAGATTTATAGCTGCTCCTACCTGTCTAAATGTTGGCTAAGTTCATTGGTCTTCTTAATGGCTCTGACATTCACGCATCTAATTTTATTAAGTAACTTTTGTAGAATGGAGTTGATCCTACAGCTAGAAACATAGAGAAGAGAACTTTGGAAGATGTACCTGACAAAGCCAAACCTTGGGAATTGACTGAGATCTTGGAACCTGCTCAGTGTCGAGTAGTAAGCATGGGTGACAGTGCAGATTCTCCTAGCAAGGTGTCTTATTTATTTATTTTTTAATCCAAATTCCGCCTATATAAAACATCTTATCAGTTTTATCATAATTGAACAATCTCATTTTTTTCAGGTTGTTCGCCTTCTTTATACAAGCTCTGGTGTTGGCATTTTGGCTCTTGGGTCAAATGGGATTCAAAAGCTGTGGAAGTGGAGCCGTAACGAACAAAATCCTAGTGGCAAGGTAATGGATGATACAGAATTAAGCTATATTTTCTCTCTATGATTCACATGGAATATTTACATAGAACTTTCCAATCGAAGATGAGATCTCTGATTCCAGTGGGGGGTTAAAGGCCACTGCCAGTGTTGCTCCACAGCATTGGCAACCAAATAGTGGTCTTCTTATGACTAATGATGTTTCAGATGCCAATCCCGAAGAAGCAGTGCCATGCATAGCACTCTCAAAGAATGACTCATATGTAATGTCAGCTTCTGGTGGAAAGGTTTCATTGTTCAACATGATGACTTTTAAGGTAACTTGATTTTGATTGTGGATAGGGGTGGTTAATTATGTTCGTGCATTTGCTGCAAGTTTTGTCAGTGATGGCACTGTAATATTGAAAATTAAATTTTATTTATCTGTAGGTGATGACAACATTCATGCCACCCCCACCTGCTTCAACCTTCCTAGCATTTCATCCGCAAGATAATAACATTATAGCAATTGGAATGGAGGATTCAGCCATTCACATTTACAATGTTAGGGTGGATGAGGTAAGTACTTCTGAGCATCTGAACAGACATGTAGTCATGTACTAGGATACTGAATTCCTAGCTGCGGAAAGTGACATGTATTGTGGTTTTCAGGTGAAAACAAAATTGAAAGGTCACCAGAAACGCATTACTGGTTTAGCCTTTTCCACCAACCTAAACATTCTAGTTTCTTCTGGGGCTGATGCTCAGGTAAGTATTTTTCATGGTTCCCTTGATGATTTGATTATCCTGTTTTATGTATTATATATTATCTAATCATCTAATCCATGATAGTCTGTGTTGAACTATTGCTCTACTGCTTAGGCTTCCATTTCTATCTTTATATTCTTTTGGGTAGGGATTCCATTTTAGTGCCATCACTGTCTTTTAACTCGGTAGAAATCTGATACATTTTGTCATTGATCGTACCACATCAATAATTCAATCTTTTACATATTCTTTTCAAAAAAAAAAAAAAAAAAACATTGTTGCTGAATGAAACCAGGGCTCTCTGTGCTTTTATTAATTCAGTATATCTTGAGATCTGGAGCTTATAGTTGTAAAATATGCCATGGAAAATTTTCACTCCATTATACTACTAAAAGTGACTGAAAATGTCTTGGAATCTCATATTGACGATACCTAAATATCCCAAGTAATCACAAGTAGTTGCATACTCTCACATCATTCTGCATTGAAGCTTTGGATTATATTGAAAAGTGCTTAGAAATAGTAGATCTCACAAGATATTTTAATGAAATAAAGATCAGTTGCAATGTTATGTGAGCATAATTTTATTATCATTAGTAGCTGCCTGCATTAAGAACTAGAGAATGAGCAATTTCACCTTTTATTTCCCTTTCTTTCTCTCTGCCTTGATTGCTTGGCAGCTTCCTGTTGTCTGTATGTATGCAGTTGTGTTTGTGCAGGCACATACAATGAATAAGTATTTATATTTAAGAGAACTATTTAATTTTGGTAACTGTGAAGGGGCCGAGATCACGAGGTTCTATTGTATCGTATAGTGTCTTCTTATATGTGATTTCATGTATCTAGCTTCTAACAAGGGGTTAGGTATTTATGTCCTATTTTTTATGAAATTGACAGTGGTGCCCCTCCACAGTCCACTGGGACAAAACTTTGGGGTTAAGAAAAGCAGAATGGTGGGGCAGGATTTCTGTAGCCGACCCTTAAATAGTTGGGATTAAGGCCGAGTTGAGTTGAGCTAAGCTCTTGCATATAGCATTAAGTATGGTACAACTTTATTACCAAAAGAAGAAAGTATACTATAATTTTATAAGCTAACCTATCATATGAGAGGATAACCACTTGTTTGCATATTCTAGATGAGAGCATAGGTGATGGGTCCTGCTGAAGTGATATCTTTTAGTGGTCATAGTGGTAAAAGATATTAGGTGTGTCATGCTTAATGTGTGATGTACAATCAGGGTAGGAGTACCTCAAGATGGGACTTCAGAAAGTGAAGAAATTATAATATTCAAAAGATGTTATCCAAGCTCAAAATGTTATTCCAATATTCGTGATCCTATGTACAGCTAAAGTTATGGATCTTATGCAAACCACTGGATCAGGTAGTTGAGAATCAAATAGTTTCAGCAAAGGAAAGTTTCTTTTTTTTTTCCCTTCAAAATTTCTGGCACTTATTTGCTATGTGGTCCATAATTCTGCATTAACATCCTCCAATTTTCTTGCACGTTTTTTTTTTGGGGGGGGGGATTGGATGTTATTTTGTTTTGAGTACATATGCATGTTTGACATTGATTTGTTTTCATAGTTCCTATCAAATTTATTTGTTTTTTGTGTAAAATGGATGAGAAGTGCCATAGAAGGAAGTATCCACCCATTTGCATGCATGATGTTTTTGCTTCTGTTTGTATAAATATGTTGTTCTGTACAGCTTTGCGTTTGGAACACTGATACATGGGAGAAGCGAAAATCAGTTGCTATCCAACTGCCTGCTGGGAAGGCCTCTACAGGTGACACACGTGTGCAGTTCCACTCTGATCAAATCCGCTTGATGGTATTCCATGAAACACAGATAGCAATATATGATGCCTCGAAGATGGACCGTATTAGGCAGGTAGAAATTCAATTCTCTAGAACTTATAAGAGGAAGTTATTCTTCAAATATATCTATTTAGTGTTTAGTATGGCTGTCATCATGTCTTTTCCATTACAGTGGGTGCCACAGGATGTACTGCCTGCACCTATATCCTATGCAGCATATTCATGCAACAGTCAACTGGTTTATGCTACTTTCTGCGATGGTAACATTGGTGTATTTGATGCCGATAGCCTGAGACTTAGATGCCGTATAGCTCCATCTTCATATCTGCCCCAGTCTGTGTCAAATAGGTAAATCTATGCAATTACCTTATGCACCATTTTTGGACGGCTTTCATAATCTATGTTGAATCTGTTTAGCTGATTTGTTCTTTTCCTCTTACCTTTGGCTTTATTCTCATAATCAATGCCATTTGGCTCCTGATGAGGTTCTCCCTAAGTAATGCCAATTATTACATTCGACTTTGTGCAAATTTTCTTTTCTTTTTCTATTAGTAATTTGATTGGTTTCTATAAAATCTTGAAGATTTTGTTTGCTCCTGCTACATCATCCTTTTTTCACTAGTTGAACTAATCTCTTCAGCTGGCATGCTTATTCCTATTATGATTTATTTGTTCTCTTTAACATTGTCTTTGATTATCTTCTCCACTTTTCAGTTAATTTAAATATACTTCTCTTCAGTTTTGAATGCCATGTAGTAGCCAAATGATACCTTTTGATCTGTTCTTTACCTTGCTGTCATGGGCAMCCCTGCCACTTCTTTCTATTGAACAATGAACTACATCCCCTCTAATATCTGCTTTAAGTCTCCAAGTTTTATTGTTTCTTCTTTAACTCTGTGACCTCTAAATTATATTTTTGCAGCAGTCATGCTGTGTACCCACTTGTTGTCGCGGCACACCCACAGGAGCCAAATCAATTGGCTGTTGGATTGACAGATGGTTCTGCTAAGGTGATAGAACCCTCAGAGTCTGAGGGGAAGTGGGGAGTGACAGCACCTGTTGATAATGGGATATCCAATGGCAGGCCGGCAGTAGCATCAGCCACAAGCAATACAACATCTGAGCAGCTCCAAAGATGAAAATTGATGTATCTTACCCCGTTTTCTATTTTATGCATTGTACAATAGTTTGTAATACCCCTCTCCCCCTGGCCTTACCTTTCAGGGGTAGCCACAGAAATTATTAGGGCGAGAGAAATCCTGTATACCGCATCTAATTCTTTTATCAGTATATACTGTTATGTTATTTGGATCTGTTTAATATCATTTCAAATCATTTTCATCTAGTCATTTTTTTTTTAATTACATTGGAAAATGGTGAAGCCACAGAATGTACCCTAAAATATCCAAGAGGAAATTGCTTGAAGCAGCAATTAAAAGCTCATTCCATAACTCGGTCCTTGCATTATTGATCGATTGATGTTTTCTTGGTCGGTGTATGGCTGGAAATTGAGAATTTTGAATTCTCAATTGTAAACTGTGCAAAGTTTGACGATTTTTTAATTATTGATCGATTGATGTTTTCTTGATCGGTGTATAACTGTAAATTGAGAATTTTGAAGACAATTTTAAACTGTGCTGTTGCTATAGAAAGTTTGGCGACTTCTTGACTATTGATCGATTGATTTTTGTTTCTTGGTCAGTGTACAAGTGTACATTGAGAGTTTTGAAGACTCATTTTAGACTTGTGCTGTTGCTATCGCTATAGAAAACTTGGCGAAATACAGCAAACCTGTTGACAGGAAAAGCTATTAATCGGCAAGGATCGAGTTTGTAGAATAGGAGCCACCGCACCAGGTTCTGTATTAAACTAAGAACCCTGTTCGTTTCTCTGATAAATTATAATCAAAGTGACAAATGAAAATCTATCAATGTATATTTTTCCTTGTTGCTTATTATTTTTGTTTTAGGGTGTGTCGCTAGGGGCATATTTGTAATTTTTATTCTTTTTTATTAAGTTAATATAAATAGTGAACTGGCAGCAGCCAGAGACAATTTTCTTTTTCTCTTAATCGTATTTCCCTTTCCTTCTTTCTCTCTCTCTCTCTCGTCTCCCACTCTCCATGAATGATTACATGGTAACAGAGCAAGTTTTTGGGTTGTAAAAGAATTTCGGTCCCTCTTATTTTGAACCTGCTTTGCCTTTTTTTTTCCCTTCTTTAAATTCTTGGACGTGGAAGACAGAGAAACCCTAGCAAATTATTGGCGGCACCTCCTGTTGGTTCTTCCTTGGTCGTAATATCAAGGAAACCCTAGTCGAAGAAGGGCGATGCTGATAATTCTTCTCTGTTCGATGCTGTGAAGTCGATTTCTGGTTGGCACCTTCGTACAGGTGCTGGACAGGTGTGTTCTTGTTTTTGTCTTTTTTGGCCAATGGTGTGAAGGCCTTATTCTTTGGTTCTATACATTCGTTTGGATGCTGGATTGTTAGACTATATGGGTCGTAGTCGGACTGATTGTAACGTCTGCCTTGGTTGTGTTGGACTGATTACCAGGCTGGTTTAATGATTGAACCATCACAGAGTTGGTAGTTTCTTATTTTCCTGAGGGTTGGTATTCTTCTTGTGGCTGTTGTGTAGTTGTGTGGGATTTGGACTATTTTCAGCAGTATTCTATGGCAAATTATGAATCAACTTCATCGGGGGTTACATCGACCCGCAACACAGCTGGTACGGGAGGTGAAAACATGATGTTTTCCATGCCAATTACCCCTTTAAATGGTCTGAACTACTTGGAGTGGGCTAAAAGTGTAAAACTCTATGTAACGGCAAGGGGAAAAACTGGTTACATAAATAGAAGGGTGAAAGAACCCAAGGGTGAGACAATTGAACATGATAGGTGGGACCAAGAAAACAATATGGTGATGTCTTGGCTCCTTGCAGTCATGGAATCTGATGTGAAGAAGAACTTTATGTGGATAGACACTGCTAGTGAGATCTGGGAACAGGCCAAAACTACATATTCTGAGCAAAGGCATTATGCCAAGGTTTACCAGTTACAAGCTGAATCTTCCACCTATAAATAGGGAAATCGTAGTTTGTCTTCATATTATTTAGCCCTTACTTCCATATGGAAAGAATTRGATCATTATCAGGCTATAGAGTGGAAACATGATGGTGATGCTAAGGCCTACAGGAAGCTGGTCTCTCAGCAACGTGTGTTTGCCTTCTTGTTGGGACTGAACCCTGCCTATGAACCTTTGGGGGTTCAGATCCTAGGAAGCAACGAGTTGTCGTCGGTTCACGAGATATACTCTCTTGTTCAATCGGAAGAAAGTAGGCGGAGTGTGATGGTTACAGCTGAGGGGGAGCAACAAGTTGCTTTGGCTGCGATGAATAATAACTCCACGGGAAAGAAAAGTGACACCAAGAAGACTGATGATAAAGACAAATTGTTTTGTACCCACTGTCGGCGTTCACGGCTTACACGTGACACATGCTGGGACATCCATGGGAAACCCAAGTAGGTAGGGAAGAACCAAGAACAGGGTAAAGGTCAAGGTCAGAAGAAGATGAACACAACACAGAATGTAGCACATGTGGCAACCCAAGATACTCAGGTTTCCGGTACTACCCGGGACCACCTTAATAAATCTGACCCCAAGGAAGATATAATGAATTCCTTCAGAGAACACCTGAAGTCTTATGGTAGGGCTTTGCGACAGATGGATAGCTCAGTTACTGGTACTCCCTCTACTTCATTTGCATCTACATCAGGTAATACGGCTTCTGCAACCCATGTCACTCCCATAGGTTCCCCTTGGATCAGTGACTCAGGGGCCTCTAACCACATGACCGGTAAGCTAAACTTGTTTAAGACCTATAGCCTTTTGTCAATAAGGGATAAAGTAAGGCTTGCAGATGGCTCATGTGTTTTTCAGGACCTAACTTCTGGGAGGACGATTGGTAGAGGGAGCCTAGTGGATGGTCTCTACATTTTCGACAACAAAGCTAGTTTCTCAGTGCCATCTTCAGAGTCACATAGTCAGTCAAATAAGAGTCAAATTTTTTTTTGTGGCATAGTCATTTAGGTCATGTTTCTTTTGAAATAGTAAAGTCTTTGTTTCCGGTTTTATTTAAGTCATGTTTAGTGTCAGAGTTCCAGTGTCAAATGTGCCAATTGAGCAAACAATGTAGAACAACTTTTCATTCAAGTAATAAAAGATCAAGTGTTCATTTTCATGTTGTGTATTCTGATGTATGAAGGCTTATTAATGTAATCTCTGAGGGCAGATATAAGTACTTTATTACATTGATCGGTGATTATTCTCGCTATATATGGGTATTCCCCATGCGTAGTAGAGACGGAATTCTAAAAATTGTGAAAGATTTCAAGAGGATGGTATTTACGCAGTTCCATGTTGAAATACAGATCTTCCAATTTGACAATGCAAAAGAATACTTCCATGGTGAGCTCAATGAGTTCTTTGTCTCCCATGGATCTATTCATAGGAGCTCATGCACCATAACACCACAACAAAATGGTGTTGCAGAAAGAAAAAACAGACACCTCCTTGAGGTAGCTCGCGGGATGATGTTACACATGAATGTTCCAAAAAGGTTTTGGGTGGATGCTATACTTGCAGCTACTTATGTCATCAATCGCATGCCCTCCAAAGTGCTGAGCTACATGGCCCCTCATCAGTTATTGTACCTTTAGTCCCCTTTGTTTTTCATTCCCATGAGAGTCTTTGGTTGTCGTGCATTTGTCCATGATTTGTCTCCATCTCGAGGTAAGTTAGACCCTCGGTCTATTCCTTGTATCTTTCAGGGGTATCCCTTCTCTCAAAAAGGGTATCGGTGCTTTGATCCCGTTAGTCATAAGTTTTTTGTGTCTATGGATGTGTCATTCTTTGAGTTTGAGTTGTTTTTCCCTGCTTCTCCTAAGGGGGAGAGTAGTAGTGTGGAAGAGGAGAAGCAGGTTCAGGTCCGCAAAGTCTCTCTTCTTTCTATTCCGGACCTTGCTCCCTTTCGTGTCTTCCAATGCACATGTCGTAGAGATCAGCAATGTGATAGAGATGTGGAGCAGCCAAATATTGAGCAACCGACACCGTTAGACTCCCAAGAGGTAAGTCCAATCCCTGATGCACCTACTGATACCCCTGCTCCTACTGTGGATGACCTTGACATTCCTATTACTCAACGAAAGGGAGTCAGTTATGCACTACCAAACACCCCATTACCCATTTTGTCTTCTATGATCACATTTCCCCCTCATACCGAGCCTTCGTATCTGCAGACTATAGTTGATTGCATCCCTGTTCCCAGAAGCGCTGCAGAAGCCTTAAAATGCCCCGAATGGACAGATGCCATGAAGAAGGAGATTAATGCTCTTCACAAAAATCAAACTTGGGAATTGGTGGATTTTCCAAAGGGGAAAGACCCCCGTTGGGTGTAAATGGGTGTTTACAGTTAAACATAAGGCAGACGGAACAGTTGAAAGGTACAAAGCAAGATTAGTAGCCAAAGGGTACACACAAGTGTAAGGGGTTGACTATGATGAGACTTTTGCTCCAATAGCTAAGATGAATTCAATTAGGGTTCTCCTGTCATTAGCTGCTAATCTTGATTGGGAATTGCATCAACTGGACATAAAGAATGCTTTTCTAAATGGTGACTTAGAGGAGGAAGTATACATGGTTCAACCCCCTGGATTCTGTGCCAAGGGAAGTGAAAATAAGGTGTGCAARYTGMGAAAGTCTCTTTATGGTTTAAAACAATCTCCCAGAGCTTGGTTTAGTAAGTTTCACATGGCAGTTCAACAGATGGGCTTCAAACAATGTCAGTCTGATCATA